CCACGGACTTGTCATAGGAATATATATGAAATTAATAAGGAGTTAAGAGGTGAGAAAATAAATTTAGGTCAAGTTAAAAAGACATTCATATGAACTGTGATCAAGATTTGACCGGATAGTTGCAAAATATAATTTTAAAAAGACATATTGAAGGTCAAAATAACAATGAAGATCACTAAACCAAATAACAGAGGTGATAGTAAATCTACCCTGGCTGGTATCAAAAAAAACTTTTATCAGAAAAGGTTAAGTGTGATGATGAATTGTTGGTTTGATCGCATAAAAGTGGTTTAAACTTCCTAATTGCCGACTAGGGCTTCCACAAACTTTAGTATACACCTCAAACACGTCCTATAGATTGTTTTAAAAAATGTGTAAACATCAATTCTATTTCCTGTCTTTATAATATGTTTCGCATTCACCAATAATGAGTTCTGAGGATTCTATTTGCTTCTAGATACATTTAGGAATATGCTGTGAAGCCAGCCCTTACTTGCAAAGATCAATGAGTTCTCCCTCCTAAGTATGTGTGTCCACACGTACATTCAAACTGGTAAATACAGTGGGATGTGACATCATTTTTCGCATGTTCACAGGGCTTAGATAGATGTATCGGCTTCGCATTCTCAATTATTATGATATTAGCTGCATAAAAAGTCTTTTTAACAGCAGCAGCGTTCAGTCTTTGTCTAGTTATCAAGCTGCTATGATCATCCACATATAAAGTTGTTTGATGTACACGTCTTTCTTAGTGGCGAGTTGGAGAGTGGGTCTTGGTGTTCTGACTACTTTATATCTCCTGATGAACTTGTCTGGATAATTGTTATCAACCAGAGTTTGTGTCAACTACCTTTCTCCTTCATCAAGTGTGTCTGTCTTCAGTGCATATTCGTTGGATTCTACTGAAGCGACACCTAGCTGACTGAGGCTCTTTTGTACCGAACAGGACAGAAACAGTGGTAATTAAGATACTGTTCTGTGCATGTAAGTTTTCTATAAAAAGATCTTTTCATTGACCCATTAAGCCGTCGACTAAGCCATATGCCTAGGAAAGATAAACAAATATCTGATTAAAAATGGCAATTAAAATTTTGAAAAGAATGGACACTATACTATAATGTATATATGTAACTGTAGAGCCTGATGATGAAGTTGTCAAAAATAATAATCTTGGTTCAGTATCCATTCTTTTCAAAGCAATTATCTTCCTCTTCTACATTCCACGATTGAGACAAATTACGTCTTCTTATTGCTTCATCTAAATTCATAAAGGGAACTGATTGTTTTAAATAACACTTTTGTCTCAGGTTATTTAAAAAACAGTTACAACAGTTATGCAAAATTGATATTTGATAATTGGAGAAAGAAATTTAAAGGCAAATAAAAGGTGACCATTATTATTTTCAACTTGATATGAATTACAAGAGGCTTAGAAACAAAAAGTTACACAGGGACAGAACGAATTACAGGTGTTTACAAAATGAGCATGGAAACAAATTGAAATCAAAATTTCCAACTTGAAATTTATGTTAGGCGGTGTGAATGTAGATTACAAGAGGTTTAGAAATAGAAATTACACAGGATTAGAATATAATTGACTAAGATGTCGACACTAGCCAGCCATGATCAGAAAGGTAAGGCACACCTTCATCAATCTGAAATCAGTGTGGAAAACGACCGTACTCAGGTAGAGTAAAGAACAATATTTAGATTTTCAGCACCAATGTGAAGTCAATCAGACCGGCGGATGACATCACGCGACAGGCAATCGCTCGGATGGGATCCGAATGGGTAACGACAAGTGAAATTTATTTTCACCTCTTAATCTATTATGGTAATCCTCATTATCTGATTGGATAACCAAACGTTGTGTTAATTATTCTCAGATTCGTTTTTGTCATTTTGTGTACTTTAATTTGCCCTGTATTTTTTTATTTTTTGTAAATATAAATTGACTTGACAAGCAAAATATGTGAGGGAGGGATGATATTGTTGTTCTCAATGTATTGTGTAAACACATCGCATAGTTTTTCAGATAATCTCCGTCTTCTGATAAGAACACTATCCAAATTTATAAAAGGGACTAAGTGTTTTGAAAAGAAGCCTTCCAAAAAATAGTATTCTCGTGTATACCTTTACATCATCGAGGCTTTCGCTAATCAGATGATAAACTGCCGATTATTCCCAGACTAGGACTGAGGAAACAGCCTGCCCAATACTCTCTGGTGTCCTGATAAAGAACCAGGATTATTCATGCACACAGACTAGCCGAACATGAAAACCTAGCGAAATCTAGATGGGTTGACCCGAATAAGATCAGAAATCTAGAGAACAGTTCAGCTATAGTCCTTACTAAATGTAGTTACACACAACTATACAATAGACTGGATGGGATAAGATGACAGTTTCAAAATCTAATACAACTAACATGGTGGAGGGAGAGATTGATAACAGAGGCATTAGATGGTTGGAGGCAATCGGCAGGAAGCCTTGGACCTAGGTTTCGTGCTAGTTGGCACTCATCAGCAAGGCGTATCACTAGTTAAGGCGAACACTAGTTACTGACTAGTGTTCAATCAAAAATATGATAACAGAGGCTTTGTTTATCGAATCAACTGAGAGTGGATACGTGTAATAGGAATGATTCAACACCTGTCCACCCAGATATCTGGAAAATTCTACTACCTCAACGATGACAAATAGGAGAGAACAAAGAAAACTATATAAAACTCAAGTTTCAAAGTCATGTGCGATTATAATTGATGAAATGATTATGAACAGTAATGAATAGTGTTCGAAACTTTGTCATCCAGTACGTATAATACTGTTTCACTGACTGTGTGATACATCTAATAAACAAACTAATATGGAATTACTTACTGCCACAGTGCCCAAGTTTTACACATATATTAAAGAAAGGACTAAACACATCACGCTAGTTACTAGTGTCCAATCAAAGTATCCAACACAGTTCTATAAGAGGTCAATCGCAAACCCGAATAGCTCAGTGGTAACGTCTTTGACTGCAAGCAGCACTGGGTGACGCGGATTCGAATCTCAGAAGGAACACGAGTTCCTTCAAAGTTGCAGATATACCTGCCTTGCTGACTGGTGAGTACCAACTAGCACGAAACCTAAGTCCAAGGCCATTTGCGATTGCCTCCAACCATCTAATTTCATTAAATCAATGTGTACCGTGATGGTGAGCTACCTAGAATGGTGACCGCATTGCAAACCTGACTGACTGATAGAATTCAGTCTGCGCCAGAGAAAGAACTAGACACATCACACTGGTTACTAGTGTCCAATTAAATATAGGGTTACTGTTACTGAGAAACAAGCTTTTTCTCTACACACACACCATCAGCAGCACAAATGATGAATATTCAACAGTCGATTGAGTTTCAGCATAGAACCTAGAACGGAAGTCCAACAGTCCAAGATTCCACGCTCCATGTAGCACACAAAAATAGAAACAAAAGAAATACAATGAGCAGAAATATACACGAAAAGGAACAAAATAGCAAGGAGAAAAAAAAATGAAGACTTGAAGGATTCGAAAGATTTACAAATAATGAATGCATCTGCACCATTGAGAAAGATTTTCAGCTAACATCATTAACACTCTCAAGCTATTTATTGGTCCTTAGTTATCTCAACGACTTTGGTTAAGCAATCCACATCTACCTGTCTGGCTTAAACTAACCATCAGAGACTTCAAGATCAATGCAAAGTTTTGCTTTGACCGCCCACCTTTACCTCTTTCCCAACCTAATTCTATGTCATTTAATTGAATTTTAGATTTGCCCGTCGATAGATTGGACCGAAGTGCTCGGTCTCAGGTTGACATGTCGGCTTCTTGTGCAGATGCTTCGACGATGTCTGGGAATGCGATTCGAATTTAACTGGTGGATGGTGACTAGAAGTAGACTCCAGGATGCGCATTTCGTTCTACATCCAGATGACGAGCCCCAAATAGGACGAAATGAGCATCCTCGATTCTACTTCTAGTCACCATCCACCAGTTAAATTCGAATTGCATTCCCAGACATCGTCGAAGCATCTGCACAAGAAGCCGACATGTCAACCTGAGACCGAGCACTTCGGTCCAATCTATCGACGGGCAAATCTAAGATTCAATTAAATAATAAATATGACCCGTTGCACATGACGTGGCTCTCGTGACCCAAGTGGTCTAGTGGATACCGCTTTGGCGTTTAAGACTATGGGCACTGGGTTCGAGCCTGGGTGGTGGGAGCATCATCACTCACTCACTGGGGAATGCAGGTACATCCAGATGACGAGTCCCAAATAGGACGAAATGTGCGTAATCCTGGATTCTACTGCTAGTCACCATACACCAATTAAATTCGAATTCTATGTCAGCTAACCAAATTACTTGTTGAGGGAGGCGGTGACTCGGCATACACCACACAGGTGTCCTAGTCATCTCAATCAATGTAGTCGCTTCACAACCTCGTCGACTGATTTACCCTCCTTACCTGGCACACTCTACACTTAACCTCATCATTGTTGACCGTGTTAGATTACTTAACACGAGACACACAACAGAGACATCTGTGATCAAAGAATATCCAACTGTACCTTTACTATTATGAAATATTTACATACGAAATCAGACTAATAAGTGTGGAAGGGGGCGGAAATAAATCAGTGAAAAAGACGAGTGTAAAATCCACATCAACAATAAGCAAATAACCGTTTCAGTGATCTAATGCGCTTGAGTAGTTTTACGACTCAAACAATGAGGTCGTGTTTTGGGGTTTGAAACACCACACAAAAAGAAATTCAGTAACGCTTATCCTGATTATTAGTTAAATGAAGCTCTCAAAAGGTATTTTATAAATATAAAACTGAGAGTAATCTACAAATATAACTGAAAAGTAATCAACGTTGTTTTACAAGAAAATGAAAATGTAAAAAACGCACACACACACATTCAGTGTGTGAGTGTGTGTGTGTTGGCGTATATCACTTACTAAGGTTGCTGTTTGGTGGATAGGTCTTTTCTCTGCAGAAATTTTACGTATAAAAAATTCTGATAAACATGAATAACTTGTTAAATTAGGATTTTCCACTTCACTTAAATCACATTGGAAAAATTTAGCATATGAATGATAGACAATAGGTCTTAATGGCTCTGGAATATAACATTGAGCAATTCGACCCCAAGCTTTAGATAGACCATTCAACGGGAAATATCGTAGGATAGTTGCCTGTTAATAAAAAAGAAGGAGGTACAATAAGGCGAAATTTAAAAGGATAGAAGTCGTCATTTTAGAAAACTACACCATTTACGAATCAATAGAGATGAATGTCTAGCTAGTATTTACGGATGCCCGGCGCTCTTCACCGGGTTGACTGTCCATTAGACGACAGTCTAGGGGAGATGGCTAAACCCTGATTCCAAACCTCCAACGACTGGCGTATGAAGCTCACCGGAGCTCACTGGCAGACGTATGGACAAAGGGCTTGTTGGATGTCCTGGATGTCTGGCTCCATTCAAAAAGGTGTATGAAGCGAACTCCGGTCACCGGCTGCCAATGGATAGTGGACTCCCTACTCCACTCCTACTGCCTTGTAGGTCACACTTGGTTGTGTAAAGGCTAGAGCTGCACTCTCAAACAAAAGGCTGAGCGATTCTGGGGACATCACTCGTACCAAATTCCCATGGAACTTCATGAACTCTCTTACAAACGATCGCCGCGCCTGGGCAGCGATGATTCGAGATGTTCATGAAGCCGGCTCATCCTCCCGTAGGAGATAGCCGAAGTAAAGTAAAGTAAGTAGTATTTACGGAACACTGAGACAACTAATGATGTTTAACGAAAGACAAAAACGGATACAGCCATTGACGACATAAGTCAAATCAGCAACGAAAAACAACACTCTGAACATTCTGAGCAAATCGTTTTTTTGGGGGCAAAATACACTTACGCTGAAATAACGCGGATAGTATTCTGGTGTATCTTCTGTGTCCGTAAGGAATAAAAAGCCGAAATATGCACTAAAAAGGCCACATGTCGCCCAAATTGGTCTAAATTTAAACGCCTTCTTAGGGACATTTGTAACGAACACTAAAAATAGCTTATAAGTGAAAAGAAATACATCATACTTAGTTTTTTAGGACCATTGAAATATCGTTGGAATCTTGACGGAAAACGAAAAGTAAATTTATGCATCTGAAAATAAAAACATTTGAGAAAAAAAGCAGAAAGAGATTACGATAAGGCTTATGATACAAAAGTGATCAATCCATTATGGATAAGATTTTATTTTGATAAATCACACAGTGTTATACAGTAATATTAACTGATGACCACGTTTCGAGCACAAATTATTACTGCTCATAATCATATCAAGTTACTCACACAACTTTTTATTTCATATATACATGATTGGAATTGACTAGATATTTGAATAAAAATCAATATGAGATAATGTACTCACTCTGAGACAAGCTCTGTAGGCTGAAAGACCCGGTGGACCCAATTAAACAAAATAATATAATTTACAAAATACATTGCAATGACCGCGAGGTCAACTACATAGGTCAAACTAGTAGATCGGGCGTATTTAGATTGTCGGAATATAAGAATTTAGCTAAGGTAAGAATGATTGACCTCGAGAAGATAAGTAATTTAGAAAAAAGCTCAGCGGTTGCACTGCATGCTTTAACACAAAACCACGCAATTGGGTGGGAGAGGGTTATGATTCTAAGAAGTATGTAGGTGGAGCACGAGAGAGATTGATTACTGAATCCTGTCTGGTTCATTGAGTCTACACCCAACACATGCAACAGAAATGACTCAATGCAAATACCAGAAATATGGAAGATATTATAACCAATAGTCAGTCAAATCAGAGGAGGATAATAAATAATCTTCAATTGTATTCTATTTCAATTCAATTCACACACATCGTAACGTTCTAACAAGTTACTTATTATGACTATAAAAACACTCGTCTTATTTCCCATGTGATTGTAATTGATCAATAACACTCATATTATTATTTCTGAATGTACTTTATCTTATATTGATTTTTATTCAAATATCTGGCCAATTCCAAACATGTATATAAATGAAGGAAAAAGTTGTGTGAGTAAGTTGATATGATTATGAGTAATAGTTTGTGCTCGAAACGTCATCAGTTAATACTACTGTACAACACTGTGTGATTTATCAAAATAAAATCTTATCCATAATGAAAACACAACGCTACATAATTGAAGAAAAAACTGGGAAACTGACGTAAATTGAACCTTTTGGACGCATAAATTTGTTTTACGACTTTTAAAGATAATGCCTACAGTGAAAATAAAAGGCTTCAGTCCTGACTTTGGTGGTGACATGCAACTAGAGTCTGTAATATGTTTAGACTTTTCAGTCGGACATTCATCGTAGAGTAACGGTTGGTTGACAAATTTTACTCGAAATTTCGCAAGGAAGTGAATCAGTACAAGATTTCATACTTGAAAATCACAGTAAATATGAGATAACATAAGCAATTAAACAATGAAATGAACTGGTATGCATTGCAAGTGACATTTAGTAGCTTGCAGGATATAACGCTAGTTTTTTTATTTATTTTATTTTTTTTATATTTTTGATTACAGCCTGATGCCACACCGTATTTTCAGTACAAGTATGGAATTTTCAGCATGGATATCGGTAGCCCAAATTTCGCAGGCCGACCATAGATATCGGGTGTGCGTCGGCAGGGGATCGAACCCCAGACCATGCGCATGGTCGGCGAGTCCTAACCACTGTAACACCGACCAGAAAGTACCAGATGGACGTCCTCCATATATTCTGAGATCTCATCAACAACCATTTTATTAGGGCTGACACAGCTTCCAATATAAGTGAAGTGACCAACGCGCCCAGCAACACCACTATATTATATTTTTGAACTAGAAATTGGTGAAGACCGGTTTTGTGGCATTATGTTACATTTATCGGGAAAGGTGTACAAGCCAGACATGCAAACATTTGCTCTCAGAGCGCTTAAATGAACTTTTACTTCACAAACTGCCTCACTCCAGGGGACTGTAAAATTTGAGTACTCAGAAACAAGATATTTTTTGTGGTGGGTCGATTTCAGAGGTGAAGTTGAAACGACTCATCACCGTGAGTACTCTCATAATGAAATGGCATTCGAAATTTCTAAAAGACATGCTATTCCTAACTTGTATGCTCTACTAGTAATCTGAAATCAACGTGTCAGGTGACAGGGATTATCCCGAAGATGAGAAAGGAAACCCTCTTCTTTGTTCTAGTGTGTAATAACAGATGCGAATTGGTCTCCCATCGACTAGTACAACCCTAAGCATTTTCGTATCATAAAAAAAGCTGAATTCAGTACATTTTTAATTCAGTGGAAAGCTCGAAAACATTGGAAGCAAAGATAACGTGTCTGTTATTTGCTCATTTCCAAACTTCACAGCCAATTCAAACTAAGGCTATCAGTTTTCATACGCTTTTTCCACCTTGCAAGCATACAAGACCCAAATTTATTTATTAGAGTAAGTCTATTCAGCTGTAGGTGATTAATCTACAAAATCTGCCCTACAAATATCATGGTGTTCTATGTTAGATTTCCGCCGACTCATAGGTATGTGGATGGTATTAAGGTGTACAACCGAAAAATAAATTTTCGCCTGGATCTCAGTGGAGTCTTGTTACATGCTGCTGGATGGGTTTGTAAGGACAAGATAGGATCACAAAAGAGATCTTTACTGTATTCTTCGCTTACATACCCACTTGCAGACTCCTAGACCAATTAAAGGATAAGTATGATTAGCAAATATTTGCAGCATAAAGCTCAAATAGGTACGACCAGAGTCGAGAAGACACATTAAGGGTTCTGTCAAGTCTAGGGGAGATAAAGCGACCACCTTTCACAACTGTTTTACATAGTTACGTGCTTTTAACCAGAAATGACTTTGAACATGACCAGCGAGAATGTGGCCATGTGGCATGAGCGTTTACCTATATCAATAATAGCAACCTATATTAGTGATAATCACTTCCTTGTGGTTTAAGGGATCATCTGGGAGAATCACGAATATTAGCGACACGTTCTGTGCGTTGTTAGTCTAATAGTGGCATGCCAGATAATCACGCACGTTAACCAGATTTAATTCCCGGGTGACACACTCCCAAACATTGCCAAGGCAGGAGTATATCCGTAAAAGACGGACCGTTCGGCGAAACAGCAGACAAGACCTCTAATAAAACCTAAAGAGCTTACAACCCTGTGTTCAGTTCCGAATGCAGGGATGCCAAAATAGTACAATGATTACGGATAGCAAGACAACAGCAGGTCACTTTGCTAGATAGATTGAAGGTTTTATTAGGAAGCTTTGCGGAAATGAGGTCATGTTAGCGCCTTCAGATGCTTACAAGGTACCGGAAAAAGCTACAATTAAGTTCTTCAGCGCTTTTGCTAGTGGGAATGTGACATTCCGGGTTAGTCAATTTGGTCCTAGCCACACAGACTTTAGAAATGATGTGAAACAAAATCTAATCAGTAAACGCTAGTTGAAATCCACGAGGCTGCATGCGTATATTTCTGCAATTTCAGAATATTGAAACACCGGGGCCAGATAATAACCCCCAAATGATTAACTATGGAAGCGCTGACTAGAAAGAATGCTTGATATTGTATAAGGATCCAAGTGTGTGTTAAAAGGCCGATTTCGAACATTCCATGTTAGAATGTTAGCTCTTCCTCAGATCTAATCTGCTTATGGTAACCATAATTATATACCTCTAGACGATGGATTTTTAACTCTGACAATATCAGAACTATTTATGTCACATGAATTAAAAATAACAGGTCAACAAAGGGTACAAAACCCACAGACATCCACAAAAGACGTACGGTTACGCAGTATCTCGAAAAAACTCGAAAAATATCAAGGTCAAACATAGACATTAGTCCAATATCCAATGCTTTGCTACCAGCTAGTTGAAACCACATTGCTTTTTTGATTTTAACGTCTATTATTTTAGGTAAAGACCCGGACTAATTCGCCCTGTCTTCCATCTGTTGCAGCTTTGTTACATCATGAGGTAAGTGCTATAACTGGTGGCATATGCATCGCTTGTAGTATGCGTTCTCCGAAATCCATGATCGTTTCTACCAGCTAGTGCGACAACAAATGATTTCTTCGTGCTCACTTATTGTTTGTAAGGCGAAGGTTATAGATCTTTGTTAAACTTCTGTGTGGTATGTCTCGTGACTTTACTGCCGTAGCTTTGATTTACTCTAAGGGAAGTGGTGCCGGGATTGGTTATTTGAGGTTCCTAGTAGGCGGTGTTAAGGCTGTGTCACTGCTGTTAATATAGCTGATCCTCTCACCTTTTAGCCATCCAGCGTGGCCGTGATGATGGTAACAATTGTATAAGTAATAATCATAACAGGTATCATTAGTGAAGACCGAGTGAATCTATAAATAAAAAAGTTCAAATAAATAAGCGATGAAATTCAATCATTAAAAAATCAGATAAAATAACTAAGTAAATGGGCAGTGTAGTCGGGAGAACAAGACAAGGGAGAATGGGCAGTGGTAGAGCTGTAGTTTAGATGTATACCAATTAATAGATGTGAAGCGTGAGTTTTAAAGATATGGTCCGTTTCGACACGATCATCTTGTCGCTGAATGATTATCCGGGCTCCATTTATAGCTTTCAATGGACGCTACGGTAGCCGCAGCTTGTCGTAAACAGGTCCAAGGAAAACAAACTCAAAGCTAAAAGAATTGGGAAAGCACTTAAATCTTTGCTCTCTGAGGCGCGCAATTACTTTAGTGACAGAATATCTCTGTTTTGGTAATTCTGGTCGTTTGTATTCCAGTAGGCAGTAATTAGGTCACTCCTAGACTGGCTGTCGCTAAGTACGAAAAAAAGCCTTATATCCTCAGCCGTTCATTGTATGGTTTGTGCTGGAGACCCAAGACCCATTTTATCACCCTTTTTAAGTCCCTTTCCAAAAGACTGGCATCCATTCTTACGTATGCTTTCTAAAACCTTAGAAAAATCTCAGGAGTGAGCGCACTTAACTTTCTGTGTATGAAGTACAAAACCCCATGGCACATCGTCAGTGTGATTCACGCTTGTACACAGCTTCTCTATTAGAACTTGACCTAAGTTGCGCTCTGACTTTGAGAGTAAAAGTCATCATCACACATGGAGTACCTCTCTCTCTGGCGTATTGGTGTGTAATTGCACTGCTGTGAACCTTTTGATGTTAAAATTCGTACTACTGACCCGTAGCCAGTAACCCAGAAATTCTGGGTCTTTTCGCAGGCTATCTGAGTCTCTCAAGTACTTTATCGCTCTTCAAATCTTTTCGTCATCAGAGTAGAGAAGAGTCGGATGGTTTGGATTGTCTAGTAGGTCACTGACGAAAACCAAGAAACAATAACGGTCAAGGGATAAAACCCTGGGAGACAGTCTATGCCGAACTGCGCCCAGGATGTTAGGACACGATTGTGTTCGCAGCAGAGTTCTTCTCCGTCTAGGTAGTTATCCAGCCGATTTATTCGGTGATGGGGAAGGTAGTGCTAAATTGCGTAAAATGCATTTGTAAAGTCGGGGAAGATCACGTGAACTGGAACATTCATATTCTAGCGTGATGTTCATTCATTCCACTTTAATGATAGACTTGTCACTTAGGAACCACCTCACTCAAAACCATGTTGCGCTTCACGGGTTTTGCTGTTTCATGACATGATCATCAATTAGGTCTTCTGCGGTTTTGATACCACTGTGAGTGGCACTGAGTTACACTGATCCTTGCCCTTGAGGATAAGTGACAGGATAGCTCTCTTCCAGTCTTTTGTCAGTTTCTCTGAATCAATGGAGTGCTGGAAAATGTCACATAACAACCCGCAGGGGGCTTCTGTGAAATTTTCAGAACAGACAGTTGAGTATCACCACAAGCTGAGAACTTCCTAGAGTTGAGTTTCTGCGACTTCACTAAAACCATTGCAGGGTTAATGTAAAGTACCCTCATCAGGCTTCCATTCGGTGTTGTAGCGGTGGGACTCTTATGACTCACCGTAATAACTACAGCCAGACCTCCTTAGGGTCCCATCCCTCTGGTCAGTAAGTTTTCTTTTCGGAATAAATTGGCATAGGCTTTTGGGATCTGCCAGGAGTTTTCAAACAATATTTACCTAAACTGACCACCTGCGGCTCCGCACCCATGTGTTGCATCGATTTCTGAGTTCCACGTATGCATCAGTCTAACTCCTGGGCAGTTGCAATGTGAACTGGCGCTTTCGCATGCAGAATACACTGCTCGCCTCTCTTCAGCCATGAGCACCGCATTCAAGGTCGTAGTATGACTGGAAGAGCCACATCTGAGATCATCTCGTCTCAGCATACAGCTGCCCGTTGGTTTGCAGTGAAGCTGGAACCCATTAGTCGACTTCATTTCACTTTGCAGGAAACACGTTTCCACACAAACAGTTGTTCTCACCATATTAAAATATTTGAGATTGTTGTGTGAATAATTCCTTTTACAACTTCCCAGTGTTGCCCTACTGGTGGTTCAGTTCAATCTTCCGGTCATTCTCTGTCAATTAAAAGTCTTATGACATTGGTGAAGTTGGCTTTGCTATGATGCGAACAGGGCTAAGTAGCATCCCAAATTGGCACCGGATGATGACTGGTAGTAAGGCAGATAGGATAGTGTGACCTACCATTTCCATGTAATGGCCTCCTTTAAACACTATCAACTGAACGGCGGCTGCATCGGCAGGCAGTAAATTCTACAGTTGACAAACTCTTAAGAGAAAGAAATTGGACCCATCCTTGTTGGTGTCCTCCAATAAGAAGTTCTGTCAGGGTTGATCCGAAGAAAACCACAGAGCACTTCTGTTAGTATGTTTCATTTCGGGCCGCTGAGGAGTGTAGTATTTCGTGTGCTGATACAAGTTGGTCACTGATTTTGACGTTTCTGAGGGTCTAAATATTTAGTGTTACGAGCCGGTGGTTCTACGATCAGCACCTTGGTCGGATGAAGGGCTGAGTGCCCTCTTTTACACTCCGTCTGAAAGATTTGCCCACACTGGCTGGACTTATCCGGCATGTTGGTTGAAATTTCGCTCGGCAAATTTTTTTATCAATAATCTTTAATAAAATTTTGTAATATGTTTTCTGGATTGATAGGAATTCTCATTTCCTGGCTAGTTATGTTGGTGTCCGCGTCATCTAATCTGGCTGCGACACACTCAGCATATTGGTTGTAATGATTAGTGTTTCATGCTGAGTGCGTCAAAACATCTCTACAATGAAGAAGATGGGGTAGTTGGGGGGTAATGTCATCTTCACAAATAGTTTATTTCTTGTAGAAGCTGCAGCTTTCGACATAGTGTCATTCAATGAAGACTACGTCAAAATGTGGCTATTTTCGTGTGAAGAACAGTACTATTTTACAAAAGAATGCTCTCAGTACATGGTAATCACCTATAAATGCCAACAGAACGTAAAACCAATGTGTAAATGAACGGCTACGGAACTGCAATCCAATATAACCGACTAACATGGACGAAAATGACCTTTGAGCGTCTCACTCCATCAATGACCTTGTGCATGCGGGATAATTTCAGCCCCTACATTCATGGGTGATATTACCACATTACCATGCCCACGCTTTGTACAACTGCAAATAAAGTCTAGGTGTAAGTGCCCCAAGCTGCCCACGTAAGAGGTAGACAGCACTAGCTGTGATTCAAACATAGTTAATACTAACATCCACTCTGACAGTCAAAAGCAGTCCGAGATCTCAGGCTTCCAGTGGGTCAGAAAGAATGATTTCAAAAAAGCGATACAAGAATCCATTCTACCGATGTAAGAATGTATATCACCTGAAACGTATTGATATTAAAGGCTAGCTGGTTTTCTGTGGCCTAGTTCTTCATATTGATCAGGTCTTTCTGAGGCTTGCGGAAACAATCTGTGTTTTCATCCACTCTAGGTGTTCCGTTTTTGAGTGTTAAAGTTATTGCAATGACGAAATTGCTTCTGACTTTCTTAGTAACTCCCTTCACACAATTGCTCTGCTCGTCCAAGTGTCACTTATATGACTACGATAACGACATCGTAGTTTCTGTAATACACTCAAATTTGACTTTAATATGACAAGGCGGGGGCGTAGAGTTTAACTCAGTCTACTGTTATTTGCTCACTGGGTCGAATACCAATACAACTTATTCTCAGTTATTAACCGAAGTTCTAGTTGTACGTTTCGTAATGATAATAACTTGGTGGAATCTCACGACTGAGCCTATAAAAACCGCTTCATTCACTTTTAGCCTATGTTTCACCTCGCATTTCAGGAACCAGTAAGCTCCTACAGGGTGGAACCTCATATTGTCCACAACCACCGAGAACCAGGCTAACGTGATTGGAAACCAAATTTCGTTTATTGCATAACTTAACTTAGGTTGCTTAACCTCCGTGCTTCCTCCAGGTTGCCAACACTTCTGTATTGGTTTTGGTGTGTTACTGTCTGGATCATGTTCATCTCTCTGTTACAATTATAACTGTTGGTGCGAGATGCGAACACAGTCCTGTTCACAGATGTGTCACTCCAGATGCCGCCAACACTGCTGTAAAATCATATTCTGGTTTACTAGTGGGTGTAGTTGTTATGTTTGGTAATCATGGACTTTGCAGTGTTCTTTTTGAGACGGCGTTTTGTAGGTCTGCTCTTACCGCTGAAGCCAGCTTTCCTTTGTTCTGGGAGTGATCAGGTGTCGTTAGGAACGATTTCCCCCCGCACCACCACATAATTTTGGGTTTATGGCATGGCACATTGCTTTTAATGCCTTAGAGCTCCAGGCTTACTCTTTCATTATCATATGTTGTTACTCTTTGTCTTTGGTCGCACATCACTCAGGGTGTCTCGGCATGCAAATTTTATTGCTGTGAGACGTAATCCATAGAATCTAGATAAATACAGTTGGTGAG